GGTGGAATTTGTAAAGGCTTACTTTGTTTCATTACTTATTTTGCATCTTTAACCCTCTTAAAGGAAGACTGTAAAGCAAAGAACTGGGATTCTGAAATATACAACGCAACATTCTGATCGGCCGCATCTGGACATCACTTTATGATTTAAATGCTGCACACACACACACACACACATACACACATATACTGGTGCTTCATGAGAACAAAGACCTTAAAAGCATCCACTGAGAAATCTTCCTCTTTTTTCCCCTAGTTGTAACCATGATATGTTGTAGTGCTCTAAAATCATTTAGAGCAGAACAGAACCGCTTAAAAATTATTCATCAACATAAAATAGAGGCAGCTTTAAAGCCTAGCTACCTGCTCAATTAAGTGCTGTTTTCATGGGGTTTCTATTTGCCCATCCTAAAGCTATTAGGGAGCGTAATGATGTTGCCAGGAGGAGACATTCTGTCAGTTTTCTAAAGCCATCCTTTCTTCCCTACCCATAATAATCATCTATAAATATGTTAATAAATGTAGTTATTCAAAATGACAGAAATTTACATTGTAATTGAACTGTTAAACGCTTTAGTATATTGTTCTCTAATACCCCAGGTGACCAACTACAAGTTGAGAAGGTGCTTGCGGCCACTTTTGTGTTTATTAGGTTAGCATACCTAGATTGAAATTTTTATTAGCATTAGCAAAACAAAAAAAAAGTAACAATTTTAACAACTATTCAAAAATGCCCTGGTGTTGTGAGTTAGTTGACTCTTTGAAAATGGCCTTTTTGCCCCCTGACTTAGCTCTCCTGGGAAGGAGTTGCTTTAACCATTGTCTCTTGGTTATGTTAAAATGGAGCTTTGCCTTCTTTGGAGCACAGCAAACCTTGGTAGGGAGACAGGTGTGTAAGACACAGGGTTTTTCCCAATCCCCGTTTCTATGTCTTGACTAAGGAGGAGGGAGGAATGTTTGATATGTATGATAACAGCACTATCCAGGGAGCATGCAGTGTGAGCCTGCAAGAAGACCCTTCTCAGTGGTCTTTTTTTAAAAAAAAAAAAAACAGTTATTGCTCTAACTGGCTATTTTGATGAATAACGTGAACAAATGCCCAGAATAATTGTACATCGTATTAATAGCATCCTTCCAGAAAAATCAAATTTGTGGGTCAGGCAACATGAACGTGAATTTTTTCTTGCTGGTGTGCACAGCAACATAATCAGCCCATGTGTGAGGGAGACACCAGGTCTATGGATTTCTGTCTGGTTTTCTCAGTTGTCTTCAGATTGTGAACATCATGGGGCTCAGTGGGTACAAGAGGTGGTGCCAGGCGGCTGGCAGTTCCTGTGCTGTCTACTGAGAGGCTCACACTGGCAGAAAGCAGTGTTTCCCCCCGCCCCCACTTTGTCATGGTCAGGTAGTTCTTAATGGCAACTTCATCGGAGAGCATGGACAGCTTAAGATCTTCATAGGGCACACGTTTAAAATATTTGCAAAACCTTCTTTCCAGTGTGTTTCACCCAATGTGTTCGTTTTCCCATGGGTAAATGACTTATCAAGAGATTGTTTTTACATGTGAGAGATTATGCATAATATTATGGTCTTGAAACAGCTGTGATTTCCCTTATGGGTTCTTGCCCAATTTTTTTTATGCAATTAGATAAAATGGGGACTAGCTGTAGACGTATCTGTAATCAGTTCCATCATTGTGCCTTGATTAAAAATCAGTTATCGGTATAAAAGGCTGGAGGTCAGAGTTGGTTACCACAAAGGGAGGCAGCAAAAATCACTCAAATAACTGAATACACAGTATGTAGCAGGCAAAATGTAAGACAGCTTAAATGGTTAGCTCATTTAATTAACTGTAAATTAATAGTCTATTTAAGAAAGCAGAACTTGCTAAGATGACACAAATTTTTAGCACTGGATAGTGCAAATGCCTTTTGAAATAATCTCAGGAAGCCTCGTTTTACTTTCATAGGTGGTAATATATGCTGCTAAGCAAAAGCAAACAGGACCTGGCATCTTGTAGTATGGGGTGCAGTAAAGGCCTGGAAGAAAATATGGCTAGTTGTCTGTGGTTTGTAGGTGATTATCCCTGAGCAGTGGGGATTTAAATGTTGTTCTAGATTTTTCCTTCTGTCTAGCTTTCTAGATATTTTTTTAACCATACATGTGTTTGTTATGCTTACCAAGAACGTGCATGAATACATGGGTTAGAAAAAAGTGAACTTTATGTACTCGAGTTTGAAAATATGCTCATATCCTCAGACTGACAGGTAGAGTCTCTGTTCACCATGCTGGTTCTTCCTAATATGTGAGAGAAAGCTAATGTGTGTGTCCTGTTTCTCATAGCTGGTTGGCATTGTCTTAACTCTCAGTATTTGTGGTGATGGTTGAAGTCTCGTTTCTGATTTGGATTTTCTAGAGCTGGTTTCGGAAGAGATTTGCCAAAGTATATTGCTCATGGATAGGCCGCCTCTATATAAATGATGTAGAGAAGAAAGATATTTGAAAACTCTAAATGAGCCAGTTAAGGTGTAAGACTTGCGTTTCATACACTTCTAAAAGATGAGTTCACTCCTCCTCTCTGTGCTGACAAGAGAGACCTGATAGCTAAATGTAAAGCTTCAGAGTCTACCAAACATAATAATGTTTTTAACTTACATTTTTGATCATGTGTTTAATACCAGTTACTTTATATACTGGAAAACTGCATTGTTCTGAACATCCTAGTTTGCTTTCTGTTGCTGTGATAAAACCATGGCCAAAAGCACCTTTCAGAGGAAAAGGCCTAGTTTGCTTCACACTTCCAGGTAATGGTCTGTCACTAGGGGAAGTCAGGGTGGGTACCCGGGAACAGGCACTGAAGCAGGGACCATGGAGGGTGCTGTTTATTCTTGCTCTCCATAGCTCACCTGACCAAGGGTGGGACTGTTCTTAGTGACCTGGACCCTCTCATGTCAATCATTAAGAAAATGCTCTACAGACTTGCCTCCATCAGGCAATCTGATGGAGGTGTCCTCTCTTTCTCCCTCTTTCTCTTTCTGCCGCTCTCTCTGTCTGTCTCTTTCTCTCTGCATGATATTACACCTGCATATGTGCTGTGTACCCATGCATTCCTGGTGGCTCTGGAGGCCAACAAAGAAGAGAGTGGTGGATCCCCACTGGAGCTGCAAATGCTGTCAGCCGCTCTGTGGGTGCTGGCAATAGAACCCAGGTCCTCTGGAAGAGCGCCAGGGCTCTTAACCACTGAGTCCTCTCTCCACCCCCGGAGGGATTTTCTAAATTGAGGCCCCCCCTTCCCAAATAACTCTAGCTTGTGTCAAACTGACAAAACAATAACAACAGAAACAAACAAACAAACAAACAAGCAAAACCAGAATGCTGAATTTTGAAAAGTACTGAAGTATATTAGTATGCCTGGTTGGGAGATTTTCAGAGTCCGAGGTAGGGTTTGCATTAAGAAGTGCCATCCATATGGTCTCTTTTTAATTCCCCGATCTCCAAATGAAACACACTTATCTAAAGAGTCAAAGCCAACATCCACAATGAGAGAAAATGTGATGCTTGTTTTCTGAGTCTGTGTTACATCACTTAGAATGATCTCTTCTAATTCTATCCATGTATCTGAACATTCCATACTTTGGTTTCTTTAAGCTGGAGAATATCCCATTCTGTGGGTGTACCACATTTTCACTCTCTATCCACCCACTGATGTATAGCTGTTTCCATTTCTTGGCCATTGTGACTAGAAGAGCAGTGAGCACCAGTGTGCAGGTACCTCTGTAGTAAGACAGAGTCCTCTGGGGAAATGCCCGGGATCGATGTTTTGAATCGTGTGGCAGATCTGAGACTTTTTGAGGACCCCTCCCCAAACTGATCTCCATAGCGGCTAGACGGTACACACCCCCACCAGCAGCGTTCCCCTTTCCCACATCTTCACCAGCATCTGCCCTCACCTTCTTCATTGCCATTCTGACTGGGGAGGTGCAGGAGATCTCAGAGGAGCTCTGATCTGCATTTCCCTGTTGCGGCAGCAGATCTCAGTGCACCTGCTGGAAACAGGCAGCGCCACCTCAGTGAAATAAACGGCGAGGTTGTGAAGCAAGGACCCAAGCATTGACCTGCTTTCGTGCAGTGGGAGATGGATCGGCGAATCCTGTGGTTTCCAAGAACTGATGCCAATTGTACTCCCTGCTTGTATACAGCCTCAGAAAGAAACATTACATAGTGTTTTCAGGGGTTGTGTTTCGGAGGTTGTATTTAGAAGGAAATGTTAGGTAGAATTTACTCAGATGTATTTCCCAAAGCCCCGAAAAAAACACTCAAAATAAATCTATTCAGTTTTTCACTGTGGTTAAAAACAATTATGCTTTTACATTTGACCATTGTTATATATTCATTTTTGATAGTGATCAATCAGTTGCTAAAAGAATAGGATGTTAAACTCGGTGCATCACAGGCAAAAAGGAAGACATGAAAGTAGGGGGAGAGATTTGTTGGGAAGAAGGATGCCAGTGGAGGTATGGGGTGCGAAAACGGCTAAAATTGACTCTATAAATATGCGAAACAGTCAAACAGTCAAAAGCAGAGGAAAATAGACAAGCAGAAATATAGAATGCGGTGTGTAATTGTTCGGTAGCCATCTATTATACTTTGTTACATGGATGACAAAAATACCTTTACTTTAAAAGTTATTTTATCCACCGATCAATGCCATTAAGTGTCATAGTCTCTACTGGCTAACTTTAAATGGCAACATTGAAGATACTTAAAGCCAGGTGAAATTCAAAACTCAGTTTCTCATTCCTACTGACCTCACTTCTCGGGCTGCCTACAGACACGTGCCTATCGGCCGCTGTCACGATGCAGACTGTAGTAACTTCCCAACATTGGAGAAACTCACACTGGATAGTAAACATTCCCTGGGTGCGCTTCACCGTGTCTTGGGGTATGCTGATGCCGTGGCACTCCCAGTGTCCCCTCACTCCGTCCCCTTCTGCCTTTCAGTTTAAGAGGATGCTGAACCGGGAGCTGACGCACCTCTCTGAAATGAGCCGGTCTGGAAACCAGGTGTCGGAGTACATATCGAACACGTTCTTAGGTGAGAACAGCAGTGCTGGCTTGAAAGCTTCGCTTACGGCCTGTTCGATGGCTTATTTTCAGAGGGCAGTTAGAGTTTGAACTTGTTCTGGAACCCAAGTGTACGTTCAAGAAGCTCTCGTAAATCCATAATGGTAACCAAATGGGGCTTCCAGTCTCTGAGCCCCAGAATCAACCGAAGGTGACGTAGTGGCTTTTATTTGTTTATTTTTTATTGACAGTACTAGGTATGGAGCCTACAGCCTAGCACATGCCAGGCAGGGAATGTCCCACTGAGCTACCTCTCTAGCAAGGTATTTCATAATACTGAATCATGAGATATCTACTGAGATGTTTATCCATGCCTGCATTGGACACGTTTTGATTAAATGCCACCACTACTGGGCACGAGGAAATTAGAAGGCTTGACAATCTAGAAAGCACCAAGGCTAGCTGACCGGTCCATGCACAATTCCTGAGGGAAGTTTTGCTGACGAGTAAAGAGCGTGGCTTTGTGAGACAACACTTCTAACCTTAACTGTGTAAAGCAGATGCAGTAAGTGAAAGTTAATAATCTGAATACCTCGACATGGGAATTTAATTTTAAGGCAGAATTACTGTGTATTAAGAAGCAAATTCTCATGCAGATGTTGGTTGAGCCTATACCGCATAAGGATGAGTGAAGGCTGCCCACTGCCTGTAACAGAGACGAACGTGCCAAGACATCTTACGTCTGTAGCTTTTACTGCAAAAAGGAGCCTATAGGCCTCTCGTTAGGTCACGCTGTGGTTGTACGTGGTCCCTGTAAGACTTGGCTGCATCTTAAACTTTGCCTTCCTGCTGCACAGGGAAACAGGAACCAAAGGATCAGGTCACTCTGAGGTGCAGCTTCAACTTTTCTAGTGTGACTTGCTGCAGTTATTTAGCCCCTGAGGTCATTTGATGCTGTTTTTTGATATATTTGCATGTGGCGTTTCTACCATGTGAAAGTACACGTTGAAACTAGAGTCCTTAGCTGGAAAGTTGTTTTCAAAGTTGTAAATGAATCCACTGGGAATGGAGTTGGTGAGCAATAAGTAACTAAGTATTTTGCCTCCTTCTTTTAAGTTGGCTATCCTATCTTAACAGTTTTCTCTTAGGATGATCTATCAAGAGGCCTTTGATAAGAAAGGAGAATTTGTTTAATTTCGTGTTTGAGAAGATCAACTTGTAGTCAACTCTAAAAGAAAAAGTAGCATCTGGAACCACTTCCTAGAATACACAGTGGCCAGTTGCAGTGTGCTTATTTGTATGTCGTGCAATTAAAAAATAAAGTTGAATTCAAAGTAAATGTGGGGCGCTTTCTGGATTTCTTAAGATAAGCAACATGAAGTGGAAATCCCCTCTCCAACTCAGAAGGAAAAAGAGAAAAAGAAAAGGCCGATGTCTCAGATAAGCGGGGTCAAGAAGCTGATGCATAGCTCCAGCCTGACTAATTCCTGTATCCCAAGGTTTGGGGTGAAAACAGAGCAGGAGGATGTCCTGGCCAAGGTAAGCTGATCTCAGGGATCATGCTGTGATTTTCCCCCCATGAATTCTCTGTCTTTTCTTTTAGACCGATGGAAAAGTTTATTAGTTTATTTGATTTTCCAAATTGTTTTGGAGTCAGGCATAGTGGTACAGGCCTTTAATCTCCCAGCACTTGGGAAGCAGAGGCGTGTGGGTCTCTGAGTTTGAGGCCAGCTTGGTCTACAAAGCGAGTTCTGCAACAGCCAGAGCAACAGAGTGAGACTGTGTCTTAAAACAAAGCAGAACAGAACAAACAAAAACAACACACGTGTTTTGTTGAAGTGACAGAAAGCTAGAGAGAGAGAGAGAGAGACCGCAAGAGCGCGTGCACAAACACATGCATGCAAATGAGAGCAGTGCCAGTGGAGACCTGAAGAGGGTATCAAATTCCCTGTACCTGGAGTTAGCACCAGTTAAGAGCCACCTAACATTGGAGGCTGGGAACTGAACTCAGGTCTTCAGGAAGAGCAACGGTTGCTCTTAACTGCTGAGCCATCTCTCCAGGCCTTGAATTGAAGGTGGGAAAACCACTTCATAACACTCTATAAATTATTAGTTTACTCATACGTAGATTTAGGTATGTGACTTGGTTGATGTGTCTTGGTTTCTTGTTGCTTGTTTGTTTACTTCTAAGCATCTTGATTTGAGCTTTTGACCTTGGAGAGTTAGTAATTGATCATCCCTTCTGGATTTTAGGCCAAGTAGATTCTGTAAATAGATTTTATTTATTGAAATTATTTGAGTTTGATAATGAAAGCATATGAAAGTAATTTATTATCAGACTTGTAAGTTTAAGCAATATTTAGTTTTCAGTACAGTTGAATGAACTTCCCTTAACTTTGAATGTGTTTACATCAGTACATTTATTTTACTAGAGCAGTGTTTTTCATTAAAGTCAGTAATTTTCAAATGCTTCTGTTTGTTATCACCTGTTGTTCAACTTCGTCTTCTTTGGATGTTTTTCTTCACCGTAGGAACTAGAGGATGTGAACAAATGGGGTCTCCATGTTTTCAGAATAGCAGAGCTTTCTGGGAATCGGCCTCTGACTGTTATCATGCACACCATTTTTCAGGTAATGTCTTTGAATTTCTTCTAACTGGACTGTATCAGTTATTTTCTGTTGTTGCAACAACATGCTTAAGGAAATCATTTTAGAAGCAGGAATCATTTATTTTGACTCACGGTTTCAGAGGGTCTAGTCAGCTGCTCCATTGTCTTTAGGCTGTGATAAGGTACACCATGGGGCAAAATCATGGCAGAGTAAAAGTGGCTCAGCTAAAATTAACAGACAGAGGGAGAGAGGAAGGGCAGGAGAAGGTATCCTGGGACAGGCTGGACTGTGCAAAGACACGCTCCTCTTTCAGCTGTGCCCTCCTTCTTGGGAGTCCAATTAGCTGTGAACTCACTAATGAAGTTAGTACTCTCATCCTGTGATTACACAGTCACCTGTTAACAGTGACCCCTCAATAATGAGGCACTGGGATAATTTTTCACCCAATGTGTTCAGCCTTTAAGCTATGCATTATGCATTCTAATCATCCCCTTTGGCTTATTTTGATGCCTCTGTTGTATTGCTCCTTTACAAGGAACATAATAACAAATACAGTATGCAAAAGACATGAATAATAGCATTTTTTCTATTTAAGAAATGTGGGGGAATGGAAACAGGGTATTAACAACTTATAAAATTATCTCCCCAGTACAGACTTGGTAATATTCTAAACAAACAAGCCCCCTGCTGATTAACCAGAATATAATCCCATGAGCATCTTTTTTAGTATTCTGCCATTTTTTTTTTTAATCCATTTCTTGTTCTTGCCTCTGTGCCATGTCAGGGTGGGGCTTCATTGAGAAGCTGGGGCTGGTACTGGTATCTTGGGACTAGATGGGCAGCTCCAGCCTGAGAGGAAGTGTGGGTTCATCTGGTGTGACAGAGGGACCTTGTCATCAGCAGTAAAGCTTCCTGCAGGAGCTTTGGACTGGCAGCCACTGCTCACACTATTCCCCTCCACTGGGACTGTTTGTCTCAGAAGGACAGCTCAGCTGTGTGCTAGTGCCAGAGTTTCTGTCCTTCCCAGATATTTCCACTTCCCTCAGTAGATATGAGAAAACACTGTTTCATTTCTGGGCTGCTGGCAGGCAACACCAGCATACGATTTTCTTTTAACATACTTGGGGGAACAAGTTTTATTAAAAAGCCAAAAACGTTAAGAAGATTTTTTTTTTCTTACAGGAACGGGATTTATTAAAAACATTTAAAATTCCAGTAGACACTCTAATCACGTATCTCATGACTCTGGAAGACCATTACCACGCCGACGTGGCGTATCACAACAACATCCATGCCGCAGACGTGGTCCAGTCCACTCATGTGCTACTGTCCACACCTGCTTTGGAGGTCAGGCTGTTTTCTAACACGGCATCAGCACTCATCTGCCACTTACGAAGAGCTCTTAAACGTTGATGATGGGGGAGGGGCCTCGAAGTACAGACAGCACTATCTTAATGCGCCCACTTATAAGGAGAAATTATTGCCAATAAGCAACAGATCCCTTGATGAATTTTGTCTGTGAGAGCTGGTCAAAAAGCCGTTGGGATTCATCTGTTTATGATATTGCTTCTTTGGAATGACCCAGTGCATATTGCACACACACATCTGACTTCTGGCAAGGTTGTTTTCTGGGACTTTAGTCTGATGGTATAATTCAAAGGACGATTATGTTCTAAAATATAAGCAACACGTCGTTAATACTTTCCAAGAATTTATTAGAAAGAAATGCCTTTTTAGATTTTCCAAGTCCTAAAAAAGTTGTCCTATGAAGTGTTTAGTAAAGGGATTTGATTTTCATCATCATTTGGGGAAAAGATTCTTAGTTGTTGTATAGTTTAGGCTTTTCTTTATAAAATTCTGCTTATAGCTTATTATTTGGCTGAGTGGGTCTCAACTGGGGACAATTTCCATCCTGGTTTCCTCCATCTCTACACCCAGGGACATTTGGGGAATATCTGGGGACATTTTTGGTTGTACACGATTCCAGCGTGTTGTGAGTAAAGGCGAGAAATTTGCTAGACAGCACAGTAACATGCAGAATGCCCTAACTACAGCCTTGTCGGCACTGAGGCTGAGAGCTGGTGATTTGGATGACAGGAAGACGAAAGAAAAGAACTTCTCAGGCATTATTGATATGTTCTCGGAGTATATCACTAAGCCACTTACCCATAAGCCCGTATTTCCTCTCGGCATCATTGCAGATGCCCTATTTTTTAAAAATATAATGAACAGGACAGATTTTGTCGTGATGTGTAACAAAGTCAGATGAAGTGTTTCTGCTTTGAAATCACACTTATGAAACTCATCCATAAGACAGTTCCTTGTTCCTTCTGAATCCTGGGGTTTGCTTCATTTGTTTATATAGTACTCTCACTCATACAACTCCAGAATACCATGCTAATATCACCTGCACTGTTGGTTTTCCAGGCTGTGTTCACAGACTTGGAGATTCTCGCAGCCATTTTCGCCAGTGCAATACACGATGTGGATCATCCTGGTGTGTCAAACCAATTTCTGATCAATACAAGTAAGGGAAGCCCTATTTTTTGTATATTTTTAAAAACCTAACTGAGTGGTTTTTATAAGTCCGTGTTTCTCCAGTGTCGTAATGTGCTTTTGACAAACATAAATGAGTAGGTTTTAGCTATAGTATAACACTAATGTAATTTATCGCTGCAAATGCTCATGGCCTCCCATGAGACAGGCAGTTGGTGTGTGAAAATCTGTGTGCTCTAGCGCATCTCTAAATGTCATCGATTACTGCGTTTCTGCAAAAGGAAATCAAAGGTTTTTTTTGTGGTTTTTGTTTTTTGTTTGTTTGTTTTGAATGCAGTGGCACGAGTAGAAAAGTGAAAGGTGAGGCATGTACAGTGGTGTAGGTCAAAGCATGTAGAATACTGTGGGTAGAAAGGTCAGAGCATGTACAGTGGTGTAGGTGAAAAGCTAGGTAGGTAGGTAGGCTGTAGGAACCAACCCAAGCAGATAATCACTGAGCCCTCTCGGTCACTGTAGCTCTCCTTCCCACCGTCGCAGATCCCGTTCCCTCAGTTCCTGTTCGGGTCTCTGGAGAGGAGTAACAGCAACTAGTTTCCGGTGTCTTGTCTTTGACAGCTCACTCTCCCTTTAACAAAACTCCTAGTGATCCCTCAGTGTCCCGACAGGCCTAATTCAGGTCTGTAAGATCGGTTAGAACCACTCTCGTATTTTATACAGCCTCTGTAGAAACAGAACAAAATACGTGTTAGTGGTTCATGGGTGGAGCAGAGGACCCCCCCCCGCCCCGGGATGTGTGGTTGGTAGATGACATTTCAGATGTTAAGGAAGGGGCTTCCTAATCAACAGGACTGCATTTCATGTTCCCACTGCTTTGTGAGACCCTGTAACCGGGTGCCTACAGGACTCATCAAAACATTTATATAACCGTTATCATCACTGAATCTACTCTGACAGAGCACTTTCTGGAAAGGGCTGGCGGGTCTGGTCCTTTCCATAAGTCTGGCCTACTTCAGCATTTTGAGGCTGATACATGTCGTGGTATGTCTTTAATAGCATAGATTTCAACAAACATGTAAACTTATCTTGTTTAGATTTAACTTCTGACACTTAATAATGACATATTTTCGCCAGGTTAGTAACATCAATCATCGAAAGAATAATTCCTTCGCATTCTGTCACACATACTACCCTACGTTCCCTTGTAATGTCATCAGAATTAAGAACAGAGAATACGTTTAAGTAGCTCACAAGAGTCACTGTCTTTCAGTATTCCGGGGTACGTTTTAAGGACAGCAGGGACAAGTTTGGTTCTTTCCGTGAGCCCTTCAGACACAGCTGGGACTCGGCTGGCACCTGCAGGGCTGTGATGGGTGGCAGGCAATCTGTGCAATCTGCCATCTCAGCTAGCAGAGCCGCCATCCTCTAAAGATTGAAAGCCAACAAGGCACATAGTGCAGAAATTTGGAGGATGCTTATGAACGTAGAGAAGTGGCCAGAGGTGTCTATCTAGGTCCTTTTTTTTTTTTTTTTTTTTTTTTTTCTGGTGACATGCCTTAGGTACAACCCTGATAACCACTCCTGTTTCTCTGTTTCTGGAATCCCCGCCACTTTCAGCGTTGTGATGAACAACGTGACAACAGCAACACGGGGAAGGCCTCAGCTCTGAGAGCAGCTTTTGTTGAGTTGCTCGTTCAGGTGATGGGGTGTAGTGAGGAAGTGTCACTCTTCGGCCGGTCAGGGGGCGGAGCCACTTGGTACACAGCGTGTCCGGGCTGTCCCAGGGCTGACCAGGATCACTAACTTAGCATCATCACTGGAGCCTACAATCTTCCTCCCTCCCTCTCTTCCTTCCTCCTTTCCAGTATTGCAAATAGTTAATATTCACAGCATGCGCTAATCAAATCTCCTATGACTTTAAACATAACAAATATAAGACCTTTATGAACTAATGTGTCAAATTAGGTGTTTATTTTTGTTTCTATAACCCTTCAGAGAGTTTACATTTTCTTTGGCTTTCATGGATAGATTCAGTGTCACTAAGTCAGGTTTACCATACTCTCAAACTCTTGACTTGGAGCTGGTCCTTCTAGCTGCCAAAGCCACAGGCTGAGCCTGTCTTTTGTAACAAGGGAATCTTGAGTTTTCATCATCATCTCAAACCTCTAGTTAGATGGCTACATCTCTTGAGGTGTCCTCAGAGACATCATGAGCTTGAAAGACATGTCCCAAGGCACATTGTCCAGGTGATTGCCAGTGCAGTCATGCCCCTGCCTCTTAGCTGTGACCTTAGAGACTCTTCGTATACCATGAGAAGCCTTCATGATAATGAAGGCTGTAGGGATCTGGAAGTCTGCAAACACAGGGCATAGAGAATTTGAAATCCCAGGTAGAAAGTTGCCTTGATCTTTTTAGAGGCAATGGTGATAAATCAACCCATAAAGTATAAAAAGCTTTAAAAAAAGTTTTGACTGTAGCATACAAGAAAGTATTTATCGTGAGAAGATCTTTGACTTTTTGGTTTTATTTTCTGAAAAAGTAAAACAGTGTGAAAGATTTAAAAAAAAACATATGGTGTTATATTTCACTTGGAAAGAGGATGTTTTGTTTATAGTAAAGATGTCCAATTTGGGGGAGAAAGGTTTATTCATATTCATCATGTATTCAAAGCAAATGTCTTTGGGTTTCCAAGAGTAGAGAGGCATTACATAATGGTAAGTTGAAGTGGGATCTAGCTGCCAGTCTACATGCTTTACAGAGATTCTCAATCTCTCAATTTAACATAGATTTTCTTATTTTTATACTAGTGGATCATGTAGAGACCTTTCTCTATGCAAACCTTTGAAAGAAGGACAAATTCATTTTTAACAAGTGTGATTATGTAGAGAACAAGGCAAAACTTTGGCTCTTAGAAGCTTGTGTTGTCTTATGGAAGAAGGGGGAGCTCCACAAGGAGACCAACAGAGCCAAAAATCTGGGCCTAGGGCTCCCTGCAGAGACTGATGAGTCAACCAAAGACCATGCCTGGAGAGGACCTAGACCCTTGCTCAGATGTAGCCCAAACGCAGCTCAATCTCCATGTCGGTTCCCTAGTAAGGGGGGCAGGGGCATTCACTGGCATGAACTTTGATCACCTCTCCCTGTCAAGGCAGCCTTACTAAGCCACAGAGAAAGAGGATCTGGATAGTCCTGATGAGACCTGATAGGCTAGGGTCAAATAGTAGGGGGGGAGGACCTCCCTTATTAGACTAGGGGAGGAACACAGTGGGAGGAAGAGGTAAAGAGGGTGGGGCCAGGAGATGAGGAAGGGGGCTACAACCAGGATACAAAGTGAATAAATTGTAATAAAGATAATAATTTCAAACATCCTTGTGAATGTGTGGCTGGAGATGGTACTTGATGCAGTGGAAGAAATCAGAAAGTGTCAGGGCAAGGAACATGGATGGAGTGAGGGGGAGAAGGGCAGTTTCAGGACCGTTTTGTTCAGAAGTCTTTTTCTTAAAAAAAAAAAAAAAAGAAAGAAAGAAAGAAAAGAAAGCACACAGTCATTGTATAAGACACTGGCACTTTCACACACGCCATTTTCATACATGTGTATAAATACCTTGACATTATCTTATGACATTATCACACATGCACGTACTACACCTTGATGAACCCCACTAACACCATCCCTGCAGCCTCCTGCCTGTCCCTCTTCACCCTGGCCCCTTTCGCAAGGATTTATGCCTCCAGTGACTCAGAGACACGGTAGAGCAGGCTGTCATTTCCAGACACTGGACTAAGCCTACCTAAGCCACAGAGTGGAGAGTGTGGCTTTCACTTTTGCCATATGCACTTTCGGTCTCTAGCTGCCCAGCATCATGTAAGCTTTATTCTCGCCATCACACACAGTTCACAAACATCTGTTACAACAAAGATGTGTGTGTGTTTGTGTGTAATTTACCTCTTTCGCATATTTTGCCCAGAGAAGGCTGACAAATTTAAGGTTTGACGGCCGTTTCTGTTAATATAGCATGCATGTCTTTTATCATATTATTTATATATATATATATATATATATATATATATATATATATATATATATCTGTCTAATTGAGCTCAGGGTTGGGTGGTGCACGCTCAGATTGGGGGCATATGCCTTTAATCCCAGTACATGGGCAGATCTCTGTGAGTTCAGGGCCACAGGGCCAGCAAGGGCTACATAGTGAGCCCCTGTGTGTGATAGTGATGATATATTTATTAAAAAGTAAAAGTGATACACCGTGGATAACAATGAAGGGATTAACACACTCCTGAAATTCCTACCCCCTGAGATGAATTGCTTTGAACCTTTCATATTTTTCTATAGGCATATGTGTAAGCATAGAATTTTACACATAAAATTCACAGTACAGGTGCTTACCTGTAATCTTTTGTCTTCTCAGAGACTAAGTCTAGACCTGTTTCCTGGAGAAACAAAAAAAAAAAAAAAAAAAAAAAAAAAAAGAATTAGCTTGACTCCTGTTAACAGACATTGAGTTACCTATTCTCTTTGGCATACATCACTTAGAATGTGTATAACATTTTAAAACTATTTATTTATTTATTTATCTATCTATCTATTTATTTATTTATTTAATGTAGGTGAGTGCTCTATCTGGATGAACACCTGCCTGCCAGAAGAGGGCATCAAATCCCCATATGGATGGTTGTGAGCCACCATGTGTTTGCTGGGAATTGAAGTCAGGACCTCTGGAAGAGCAGACAGTGTTCTTAACTCCTGAGCCATCTCTCGAGCCCGAATGTGTATAATCTTAGAGTCAAATTTCTCATTTTATATTTTTCATATGTACATATATATTGCTTCATTTGGTCCACAGAAAGCTTATGCCCACTTACAATTTGCTTACATTTATACAGCCTACGTTTGATCTCCTATACTCTTGCCAGCTCCGAGCCTTTGACAGTTGAAGTTTCATTTGTTAAATATTTTGAGGGTTTTTATAGAGCTGTTTTTAGGGCATCACATTTTCTTACTCCCTGTTGTATCCTTTGGTAACTAGCACTGTGAAATAGAATTTATTTAAGTCTGCATACACTGCCGCCCAGTCAGTCAGAAACCCTTATGCCTTAGTGTAAGAAGGCAGCTATTGGCAAAGCGATGCAGGTCTTTGCAAGCTTGCAGTCTAGGTTGTGATAGTTAGTTTCCAAGGATGCCTAGAAAGCTGGAATATCTTCATTTCAGGTGAGCCTGAAGGAGTGTTTCTGCAAGAAGTTAGCATTAGAATCAGCAGACCAACTCCAGGTTACCCTGCCCCATGTGCATGGACACCGTCACCCAACGAATAAGGGCCCAATACAGGAGTAGATGAGGTGAAGGGAGGAGGCAAATGGCAATCTCAGTCTGAGCCAGGACAGCCATCATCCCCTGCTCTCAGACACCAATGCTGCTTGTTTGTAGAGCTCTAGACTTGAACTAGAGCTTTCATCATTTACTTCCGTCTCTCCTACCTAATGCCCTTCCTCAGGCCTTTGGAAGGACTGAATTGTCACTGACTCTCTTGGCTCTCCAGCTTGTTCACTGCCAGTCCAGGCCTTACGCGGCTTCCATAAGCACCTGAGCCAATTTCTACAATAAACATACAAGAATGTATACATCTATATCTGTTCTTCTGGTTGTGTGTCACTGTAGAAGCATGTGTCAGAGATTTGGGTTCTAACAGTGGCTTAGAAGGAGCAGAATTTTGAGGATGAGTTTTTGGAGTTCCTTTTGGGGTTTCTGGTGTTTTTTAGTAGCCTCTTAGATTTGAAGACATTGATGACTCTATTTCTTGTAGTAAAGAGAATACTGAGAGTCTGTATTCTGTAGTATTTATAGAGATACCTAAGATGTGCCTTAGTACTTCTAACCAACCACTTGTAGGATGCAAGAAGCCGAGTGACTGTGTTATTTCAGTACCTTCTGGGTCGGGGAATAAATCTGTGCTTTAGTGAAATCTGTAAGGGCTCAGTGGTGTGGGGCATGTTGGTCCACCCCTTCTAAGGTGAAAGGAGAATAATTACATACAACCCTTCCTACAACCAAGAGAGGAACACATGCTTCCTGGGCCTGGGTGGCTTTGGAAACAGCATTCTCCTCATGGAGGGTTTGGGGTGTTAATCACTCTGGCCTGTTACTGAAGGGCATGAAAAGCTGTTCCTGGTTTTTTTTTTTGTTTGTTTGTTTGTTTTTTGTTTTTGTTTTGCTTTTTCATGACCCAGGATAAAAGAATTCCCTTCCTGGGTCTAGGCTGGTGTGCAAGTGTCCCCTTATTTTGCTGGTCCAGCAGGGCTCGGCCATGCCAGTAGCACACTGGGTTGTTGTTTGGAGCTATGTGCAGGGCTCCATAGGTGATTCAGGACACAGATTTAGGATTCGGGAGCAAGGCCCTGCCATCATCAAAATTAAAATGAAGAAGATTAAAAACAGCTTAGCAATAAAGCTGAAGCACCAATAAAAACATTTTCCCATAAAGAAATGAGAATTTCAGGGCGAGGCGGATTCTCTGTTAGCTCTATAGAAGATTACAGTAAAAGCTTAACAGGAAGAGTCTAGAGACAGCTTGCCTCTAAATACTGGCCCTAGAGTGCACCAGCTGTGTGATTTTGGCAATATTACCTTTCCTAAGATTCATTTCCTTCATTTATGAATGGGCATCATGTTCAAATCTTCCTAGGAGAGGTGCGAGCAATGGCGATGTAGTACTCCAACCCCTAACATAGGACAACGGAGTCCTCTTAATATGGTGGCTTAGGATATTCTCTTCTTGCTGCTTTTTAAGTTAGGAAGAAAGGAGGATTTATACTGTCTAGTGTAAATCAGATGTCCGTCAGTCATCTTTAGTATTGTTTAGAGACTCAGTCTCTAAGGATGTTGGGAGCATCAAGGAGGGAGACCATGTTTAGATATAAGGGCAACCTGGGCGCACGTGATAATGGTCCCTAGGTGGTCCAGAGTGGTGGAGGCATTGGAGGAAAAATGAGCCATCGTGCCTTCAGCAATTGAGAAAGGCTGTGGAACAGGTGGTTTCTGCAGAGTGGCAGGTCAGCTAGCCTCCCATCCCCCCCCCTTACTGTGTACACTGTATGGAGTCTGAACCTCAAGGACTTGACTTACAAGTCCTGGGTTAGCATCTTCCGTGATGCACCAGCCTGTAACCTCCCACCTTACCAAGTGACTGTGCACCTTGTCTGACAGGCAGAAACAATTAAATGATGGCCCTGAAGTTCAGTTTCTTCAATGGTAGTATTTATTTGTTTTTGTTTTTTAATTTAAAACTAAGCTTTTACTGCCTGGTCCCAGTGGATGTGTAAAAGGATCGGACTGGAGCAATATACTAGCCCTCCACTCTCACCTCTGCTCTCCCTCTCCAACCCCTAAGGAATCGTTTCCTTGGCTAAGGCCAGCATAGCCAGTGCCCTTGGACCCTGCCTCTATCAGATGGATCACCTTCATGGAGGCAGCAGCCCCTCAGCTTTCCCTGCCTCTCTCTTGCATCTCTCTTCAAGGGGAACATAAACCCATTAGTAGTTGTGTAAGGCCAAGTGAATCCTTAATGTCATGTCCCTTACCTACATAAGTGTTTATTCCCATGAAAGGACCCTGCTGGACTGGGTCACATTGTTTCTGAGTTAAGACAATACCATGTCTTCCTCCCAGCATTTGCTTGTTTAATGTGATTCAGCTGTGTATGCACAATGTCTTGTGCTCAGTATCGCTTTAAATTTCTAATTTCTGTATGTTTAACCACAGGCTTTCATAGACTATTTAAAAGTAAGGCTTTGGTCCTCCGCATGAAAGAAGTAACACTTAGTTGGGAGGTACTTTTAAACAGTATTGATTTTTCCAGACAAAGTGAGATGGGACATTTTTAAACATCGACTGCTGAGAGTCTATACTCTCCTGTGTGTGTGTGTGTGTGTGTGTGTGTGTGTGTGTGTGTGTGTGTGT